AAGAAAAACCAAATTCATAAAAAAAAAAAAAAAAATTATAGTGGTTGATGGTCGCATTAGCTTTTGAATTAAATATTTGGATTGTCCTTCTGAAATCTTTTATTCTTCCTTTAAACCAACGAATAAGTAAAGGAGAGATAAAAGTACAATGCATGCTTTGTCTCAAAGTTACTTCTTAATGACTTCATGATTACCCACCATCACTTTGTTTATATAAATTGTTACATCATGTTTAATGGAGAGCATTAGAGCAACTTCTTATTACATTTTCTAGTCGAAATATTTTTTAATTGAATACACAAAATATATAAAACAAAAAAATGTTGTTTATTATGTTTTGGTTCTCTCTGTTACTTTATATTTATCTTAAAAAGTGGCAAATTATTTTCATTTTTAAATACTACTTTTAGACATTGATAATAAGCACATTTTCAAATTTTGAAAAGGGTTTATTTTATATACCTCTTATGGAATTGTTTTATACGAAATATATCCAAGATTTTTGCAAACCATACAGAATTCCAATTATAGAATGCCCAGTTAAATTATTAAAAATCCCCCTATTTCAAGGGGTTTTCAATAATTATAGTGTTTTTTAAATACTTAAGATTAGACGATCTCACAAGAAATACTGAAGTGAATCCTTTTTAAGATACAAAATTAAACTTTTTATTGTCATTCTTGAATTACATTTTAAAAACAAAAACAATAAAAACAATGATGAAAGCTGCTTAAATCTCTTAATTATCAAATCCACGGAAATAAAAAACCAAAACAACAAAATCCCTAATAAAGACGTTTATAATACATTAAAATCAAGAGTAATATTACACTTACAAAGAAATTTTACAAAGATCTTCATACAAAATGATGTGATAAAAAATGAATAGAAGAGTGAAACAACATTAAATTTATTTTTTCATTCATTTTTTATCACCTCACTTTGTATGGAAACCTTTATAAGATTTATTTGTAAGGGAGCATACTTTTTGGTTTGGACGATAATAATAAAACATTTTTTTTCAATAAGTATTTCTGTGTACAATTATAAAACATGATCTCCCATCCCACCCATTCTTTGGTTCACAGCCGACCCCATTAAACAAAAATGTCAAAAAGTTAAAAAAAAGGTAGCAATTGTAGGGCCAGCCAATGGAGGAAGTACACGTAAGAAAATGACAAATTGGCAGTCACTCGACAAGTAGGTGATAAGGACAACAGGGGACACGACAATGCTTGCAAGTTGCAATGCTGGTTGCTTGTTTGTATCTTGTAAGGCAAATTAGCCATTTTCTTCTTGTTGATGTTGTTAATTGATAGGGGATAGGACGGAGTCTCTCAACTATGAGGCATATGCCAATTGAATTGTTATTTTTAGATGCTTTCGACTTTCCTTTTCCACCTTTTTTTTTTTTTATTTTTTATTTTGGTATCATGCTTTTGGTTACACCAAATATCATATTGTTATAACATATGAAAGGAAATGCATTAATTAAAGATTTTACTTCCAAAGGTTTATATACACTAATTGCCAATTTTCCTTAAGAGTAATATATTACTTATTCAAATATTCATCTCAAATGGTGTGTCAAACACATAGGTATTGACATATGCATTATCACTTTATTTACACGTAAGTATAACAAAATGATGACATATCAATAATATTTTCTTTATTATCTATAATACTAGAAGGAGGATAGTTTATAAATGCTATTATTTAATATATTTGTAGCACATGAAAATATTAAAATCATATGATTTACATTGTTTATTGAGCTCCAAGGCTCTAATTGCAATGAGTTTCGGAGTTCAAGAAGTGTCACTGCCAATAGCAATAATTCAATATCCTTGAAATGAACTGAATTTTGTAATGAAAATCAGAATAAAATTGACAGTATTTGCATTATCTTTGATGAATAACAAAGGACCACTGCACAATTAGTCAATCAATAGGTTAAATGTATTTAATTGTGAAATTCTAATCAAATGACCAACATAAACTACTAGTCAATTGCCTTGAAAAATGGTGCATCCATTAAATTATAAGCTACGTACTTCTTCGGGTTGACCACAAATTTCATTTTATTAATTTTTAAAGCTAAAGTATCTTATTTATAATCTCAACAATTATTTTGTATATATAGAGGAATGCAACTGGGACTTTATATTTTACCTAATTAAACCTTACTTATAAATGTAATTCAGTAAAAATTTAATATAATTGTTTTTATATAATCCAATTTCAATCAAGTATAAACCTCTTTTATTTGACAGTGACACTTCTTAAACTCCGAAACTCATTGCAATTAGAGCCTTGTAGCTCAATAAACAATGTAAATCATGTGATTTTAATTTTTTCATGTGCTACAAATATATTAAATAATAGCATTTATATTTATTAAATACATTTGAATTTGTTAAATGGAGTATTAATATCTTTAAAAAAATAGGTTTTGAGTTTACGTATAATTTTTTTTTATAAAGCTTTTAAATAATCATATATTTAATAAATTTATTAGACAAGAGTTTATTTATTTAAAATTTTGACTAGCTGAAGTTAATCTTAAGCCTCTTGGAAAGCTAAACCTCTTACAAATATCTGCGTCAATTAACCGTTTTTTTGTGTGGAGTGTGTGTCACCACGCTTGTAGTGCCTGACGATGATTCCTTAGAATTTTTTATCTTTGACAGTGGACAATTAGCCCGTTCATATCCTTCCTGTTTACAAGATCAGCAAACTATTGCTTTTTTTTGAGTCGTTTCCTTCTTAAGAGTAACCCTCTTTTCAGAAGTATTTACCTTCGTAGAAGTTTCACCCGTCAATCGTTGAAATTTCGGGTTCCTTCTATCCGAAGTATCAGAATCATAGTCAAGATTCTTTCCTTCAACCTGCTTTACCGCAATAACCTGCTTAGAAGAAGAAGTAAACTGCTTATCCGCAGTTTTCTCCTTTTTAGCAGTAACCTTTGAAGTAGAAGTAATCTTCAAAGGGCAATTCCTTCTTAAGTGTCCTCGTTGCTTACACTTGGAGCATGAGAAGTGATTTCCAGTTTCCTTCTTGTCCGCCATTATCTTGCAATTCTTCTGCAAAATGTCTGGACAAAAAGTCAGCAACAAAGTTAGATTTACCAAAAATATATTCAAATTTGATTCTATAATTTGCAAACCAAATCTGCCATCTGATTAGTCTAGCTTTGTCATCCTTTAAAGACAGTTTCATAAAGGTTTTTAAATATTTAGAGTCTGTCCTTAAAGTAAATTCCTAACTGATTATGAACAATCGAAATCGGTCAATACATTCTTTTGCTGCTAAAACTTCCTTCTCATGGACAGGATAGTTTATCTCAGCAGGAAAGAATTTTCCTAAAGCATATCGAACAATCCGTTCAATATTATCAGTACCCTTAGCCTTAAGCACACCTCCCCAATACAAGTGAGATGCATCACTTTCTATAATGAGTTTATCCGCATCTTCCGGGAGTTTTAAAGGTTTTAATTGCTTTGTCAAGGCCTTGGTCCGCTTAACACAATTAGTGTCTTCAAGTGTCCAAACCCAAGGCACTTTATCACTAACCTTAAGCGTCAAGCCATTAATTACATTAGCAAGATTAGGAACATACTCGCGCATGTAATTGGCTAATCCAAGAAATTGCTGTAACATGTGCTTATCTTCTAGCACATCTGGAAATTCTAGCAACTTCTTTGAGATATGTTCTTGGAGTTGAATACCTCCTTCACCTATCTCAACACCTAAGAACTTCACCTTGTTCTTAAACCATTCTATCTTTCTTTCAGATAGAATCATTCCATTATCAAGAAACCTTTTGCTTACCAGTCTAAGATGATTTACATGTTCTTCTTTGGTCTTACTAAAAACCAGAACATCATCAATATAGACTACACAAAAGTTAGATAAATCTCCAAAGACTTTATCCATTTTCCTCTGGAATATTGATGGTGCCTGCTTAAGTCCAAAAGTCAGAACCATCCATTCAAACAATCCTTTCGGACAGGTGAAAGCCGTCAAAGGAATGCTTGACTCCTCCATCCTGATCTGCCAGAATCCTGACTTTAGATCAAATTTAGAGAAGATTTTTCCAAATCTAGCTTTATTCAAACAAGCTGATTTGTTTGGTATCTTATAAGCATCGTCAATGGTTTTCTCATTTAACTGCCTATAATTGATAACCATCCGCGCTTTACCTCTTAATTGCTCAGCTCTATTCATGACCATGAATGCTGGCGAAGAGTGTGGACTTTTACTGGCGCGTATCAATTGCTTTTCCAGCAATTCCGATATTTGCTTACTGAATTCCTCCTCTGCATCAGGAGTATAAGGATAGGATTTGGTCACTATTTTATCATCCTTCCTTTTCAATTCAAGTGAAGCATATATACCGTTCCTTTCCCATAACTTTAATGGTTGATCATCAAAGCATGGATAAAGTTCCTCTTTCAAGGATTTTACAAGTTCCTCAATCCTTAAAGAGTTTTTTTGGCTCTCGTTTTCAAATTTCAAGATTTTTTCCTTATGTATGAATTTATCCGTGCTCTCAAGGCATGCACCAGATGGATCATCCTCCTACGATATACCTCGTGCGATCCGGTTTGTATGATAACTAAGATACAATCTTTAAAAGAAAACATTATAAGCCTCATCCACTTCTTCTGCATCAGAAGTTTTCAACCACCATCTTTTCTTTTTGTGATCTACTTCCTATGACGAATAATTAATAATGTCATTTATTATATATTAATTAATACGGATGATTGCATTTTTTTTTTCACTAATTTAACTCCCTAGACTCTAAAATCTCGTGCTGAATCTTCTCGCGAGTACGTCACTTTTAACGAAAAACTGAAATTTGGTCCAGGCCCCACCAACACTCATCCCATCCGCATGAGATTTTTCATTTTTCATTTTTTCAATTTTCGAAAATAAACATACTAATATTCACTCACTTGTCAAATTAAAAAAACATTTTATTAACGGTTACTTTTTCCAAATGTTGTGACCCTTTAACGGAAGCTCCGTCGCATTGCCACGCCACGTCCACCTCCTCTTCCACCTTTCTTCTTCTTTTTCTCAGTGTCTCTCTCTCTAAAACCACAACCGGAAAGCCAAGCTCTCTTCCTCTCTCTAAAACCAGGGTTTCAACTTCAACTTCAGCATGGGAACTGCGAAGCGGCAGTTGAATGCCATGCTTCGCAAGAATTGGCTTCTCAAAGTTCGTCATCCTTTTACCACTTCTGCTGAGGTCTGTCTCTCCAATCTTTATTACCGCACACTTTTTATTTTTTATTCTCTTAATTCAATTTTTTTTATTCGTTTTTGTTTCTTTAAGTGTTTGAATTTGCGTTTTGACTTCTGATCATTCATAATCAAGAACTTCTATGTTTGTTTTGCGAGTTTATGAAAGACTGAGGAAAGAGGATGAATGGTAAATAATATTTAATTTGAAATTTTTTTTTGCAGATTTTGCTACCAACCATTGTTATGTTGTTGTTGATCGCGGTAAGGACACGAGTTGATACGCAAATTCACCCAGCCCAACCGTAAGTAATCGGAGAGTTTAACCATGATTTTCTTTTTTACTTCTAATTTTTGTTTTCAATCTATTTGGTTTCTTAAAACTGAAGTTAAGCTGGGAAATGATTTTTTTTTTTTTTTTTTCAAATATATATATTTTTTTCTTAGATTGTTATGATTTTTGTATCATGCATGAGCAATATTTGAGTGATGTATTTTATTCATTTTGAGATTTAAATGCTTGAAAATAATAACTGTAATTGTCTGAAATTGGAGATCGGCGTCTTTAATTCATTGTTAGTAATGAAATTGATAAATATCTAGGTTTCGTGATTTGTGAGAAAATGATGGCATTAGGTTTTGTTGAAATGGTCTAGGTACATACGGAAAGATTTGTTTGTTGAGATAGGTAAAGGCATATCCCCCAATTTCCAACAAGTTTTGGAGTTATTGTTGGCCAAGGGAGAGTATTTGGCTTTTGCACCTGATACAGAGGAAACAAGGACTATGATCAACTTAATGTCGATAAAATTTCCCAAATTGAAGGTACTTGGTAATCATTATATTTATTTTCTCTATTTTTTTCTGATTTTATGTTTGAAAATTTTATATGTTTGGTGTGTCAGTTCTTGAGTGAAAAACCAATTATCATTTGCCTATTTTGGCCTTTGTTTACGTGTGAGTGCCTGATTGTTAAACTTGTGCCTTTCCGTTTATGTGACCCATGTTTGGTTCTGAATCAGTTTTCAACTTTTTATTTATTATTGTGGATTACTTTTGAGGGATTGAACTCTTTGGTACTCTTGAGCTAAAGGAATTTGTGTAAGTTGAATGAAATGGAATGTTTGAAGTCATTAAGTTTTTGCTTTTTATGGAAGTACTGAAGCCTCTGTGTACTATTTTCGGGCTATGTACCAGACTGTCTAACTCATTATTGTGCTTAAATTTATTTGCATTTCCCATGTCTATTTCTCACTTATAGCAGCACTTAGATGCAAACTGGGAACTATTTCGGCATGTATAATGGTAGATTGAACATCTTGTTGTGTTATTTTTCATGTTCCTTTTTGGTTTTGGTTCTTTCGCTTTGGGTGAAATATCATGGTATTCTCTGCAAACTCTTTTTCCAAATGACACAAAGCTTTGGTGTCCTTGTTCGCCATCCCTTGTTTAATACTGTGCTTATTATACTTGAAGAATTCTACGCTTGGTTCTCTGTTATCTTATAACTTTTTAAATGTGAGCAATCACTCAGTCACATATGTTTTTTCTGGTATGAAAATGAATTTCCTGATTTAAGCTAAATAGTTTTGTTGTTACTTTTACAGCTAGTTAGTAGAATTTACAAAGATGAACTCCAGCTGGAAAACTACATACGTTCAGATCTCTATGGTGCTTGCGGCGAAGTCAAGTGAGTTATATGCATTTGAAAGAAATAATTGAACTTATTCATCCTACTGGCTTCTTGGTGGAGGTTTAGTTCTCCAAATTAACTTATCAGGAGTGTTAAGAGTTTAATTGTTACTTAAACTGTAAATTATATTGTAGTTCAAATTGAAATTCTTTGCGGTTTTGACTGCATAGCTCCACAAGATTTCAATCTAGCTGAACTTGGGCAAATTTGGTTTTGGTCTTAATACATGTGATTAAACTTTCAGTACATGATTTTACTTATATATGGCTTAAATGACATATTAATGCTCCATTTATTATATGTCCACTTTTATTGTCATTTCTTTTCCTGATATTCATTCGTGTGCCTGCACTTGATGCATTCTTTGATCAAATGTATTTTTCTTTTGAGTTAAAAAACAATAGAGAATTTCAAAACGGTGATTTTATGAGTGTTATTACAGTCTGCTCTCATTAAAAATTTGCATTATAGCCTGTTCAAGTTCATCATTAGTTATATTACTGTTGCTAGGCTATGAAACTGATAAACTTACTGGAATTGCTTTTTCATCCTTGCTTAGGAGTTGTTTGAATCCCAAAATTAAGGGGGCGGTGGTTTTTCATGATCAAGGTCCTCAGTCATTTGATTATAGCATACGCCTCAACCACACATGGGCTTTCTCTGGATTTCCTGATGTTAAATCCATCATGGACACTAATGGCCCTTATCTCAATGACTTGGAATTGGGTGTTGATCCTGTACCGACAATGCAATACAGCTTCAGTGGATTTTTGACTGTATGCCAGCATAATTCTTTCTTCACACTATTCATCTTTTCATTTTTTCTTCCTTCCAGTCCTTTAGTTAGTAAAATTAGATCTTCTCTAGCATGTGTTTATAAATTAAAAGCTACTAATTTATATCACTATTAGGTTTTTTACAGTCTTTAAATTGTGTTTATAACTATTATTATGTTTTTTTCCATGTTTCTGGCCTTTTGATATAAGTATAACCAGTTTTGCTGAGGTAGAAGCATGATTCTCACTTATTCTTATCTTTCACAATTTAGTTTGGTGGTTCATTGATATTGGTCTTGCATAATATCTTTATGAAAATCCAAATGATTAGTAATACCTCTTGGTTTGCATGCTCTGCTCTTTTCTTTCAAAGTCATGGGAGAGGGGAAAAGAATTCTTGAGTAATCCAATAGAACTGCTTTCTTTTTACTAAAGTTACTTTGTCTTTTGTAAACCATTAGTTACTCTACATTCTGTAAACCATTAGTTTCTTTTACATTTTGTATACCAGTGGTTTCTTTTCAACTCTATCATCACCAAATAAGTTTTAGTTTGCCTAGATAAGTATTTTAGTTGCAAGCATCTGATAACTGTTATCCTTTTATACATATGTTAGGATTTATATATATGTAGATATAAGTTGGTGAATGAAGCATGTAGCTTATGCTATTATTACCGAGGAAATGGTTAATGACAACTTCATGTGGATTCGAACTAAATTTGATACTGAATTGCAATCAATGACCAGAACAAGCACCTAATAAAATATTATTTTAATATGTTATGAAAGCACCCAAAGGGTTGGGGCTGAGTGTTAAAAGTAACTTTAGTTAAGAACTCTGATGAATATGTAGGGAAGGTCAAAGGATTTCTTGGGTAACAAAGGAATTTATGAATGTTGACAGCTCTATTAAAACTTCTAAATGCCAAAATTTTTCATGTAACAAATTTCTCAAATGCACAAATGGTCAATGCAAAAAAGTGTTCTACAATCAAAATTTGAATAGTTCTGCACAAAATTGGCTCGAAGGTCGGATTATAGGAATCTAACAGAAGATTCAGTTCCTACTACTAATTTTAGTCACATTTTTTAAGGACATTCTTTGGTTATGTGAAGTTTGTGAGCCTAGCATTCTGGTTAGAGGGTATGAATCTTTTAAACCTAGGGAGTCTTTTTCTTATGGAGGCGTGACAGTAGCCATTTGACTGGAAAGAATTTGACGTCTATTGGGTGTTTTGTTTCAGTGCAAGCAAGTCGGAGCCAGTGGATAGTTTATCTTATGCATTTTGTGGCATATAATATTTTTGATTGTGGGGATTATTAGGTAATGCCTTAGTGGTCATGAGTGTCTGTTTTTGGTTATGGGTTAACACTTGACATATTAAAGAAGTTCATTAAGGATTTTATGCATCTTAAAAACTAGTGTGGAGGTGTTCTACTTAACGTTCAAGTGATACCTGTTTCTGTATGAACTCTATGATTTATTTTTTTACCTGGCCTTTTTTTTTTTTTCCTGAAATGATGAAAGTCAATGGATTTGTTGTCCATTATTATCTGCACTGGTTCACAATGCTCTGAGCAGGTAAGGGGTTGATGTTTGTGAATCTTCATTACTTGGTCACATGATATAGCTTAGTTTATAACTTGGTATTGAATATTGGTGCCTCTCCTAAATTTTTCTGAAGTCGTCTTAGTTTTAATGGGCCCTCTCTTCATCATGTAAGTTAGTGAGCTAAATTAAAAACAAAAAAACTGGTCTTTTGAGAATTTTCACACACACACATATATATATATATATTTAGTCTCTCTCTCCCGCCCATCTCACATCTACACGGGTTTAGTTAGACATAGATGCACACATACAGAGTTGTATAGCTCTCTGTCCTTTAAGGACTTTCTGTTATTGTGGACATCTAATTCACAAACTGTAGTTCTTTTTCTTCATTAATTCAACTCTTTACGTGTTTCCTGGAAGAAAAAATAGATCTATTTCATGCGAATTTTTTGATTTTGCTTCACAGGTGGATTTTTCTTTCTTCTAAAATTTGAAATATTGCCTGTATAGTAAATTTTGTGAAAATTTGTCATTGTGGTTATTGATTTATTCATTTTTTTCCGCAGCTTCAGCAGGTGTTAGATTCATTCATAATTTTTGCTGCCCAGCAATCTGAATCTAACATTCGTGCTAATGGCATGGACCCTGCATCATCATACTCATTAGACACAACTGTGTCTCTCAAGTTGCCTTGGACCCAATTCAACCCTTCAAAGATACGAGTAGTTCCATTTCCAACTCGGAGTTACACTGATGATGAGTTCGAGTCCATTATTAAGAATGTCATGGGAGTATTGTATGTTTTTATTTAGATTCCTTTTTATTTTGCCATCCCTTGACCCTTCTCATTCTATAATTGATCAGAAAGTAACTTTCTTAACTTTTAAATTTTTTATTTTTTTTTTATTTTTTTTGTCAACCTGGATCTGTATGAGCAGGTATCTGTTAGGATTTCTGTATCCAATTTCTCGCCTGATCAGCTATTCAGTGTTTGAGAAGGTTTGGTGACATAATGTTTCTGCTTACTTTTCTTTTGACAATTGACTCTCCAATTTCTTGACATAAAATTTATTTTTTGTTTTTGTATGTTTCAGGAACAGAAGATTAGAGAAGGTCTCTACATGATGGGCTTGAAAGATGGTGTATTCCATCTCTCTTGGTTTATTACATATGCTTTGCAGGCAGGTTTTTCATTTTGTGTTTTGATTGAATTATAATTGTTGCATGCGCCCTTACTTTCTTGAAGATTTTGGGAAGTGAATGCTTATTTCTATTTCAAACTTTCTGGCAACTCAAGCTCCTAAATTGAAATCCATGTATACTATTCTTATTGCTCTGCTGCAATCATATTTGGAAATCATCACCTTCAATCTAGAGCAAGTGTCTACATCTCTGCCCAATCTGGGACACAAAAAGAGATGTTGAGACGAAGTTCTACTTTAGTTTAAAGCTCCTCTGATCCCATAGCGTGCGTGTGTGTAATGTATTTATTTCTGTATTTTTATTAGTTTTAAGCCAAGGGACAAATATCTACTTTTTTTAACTTTAGTAATTGGCATCTTTGAGTTGCTTATTTAGATCAAGTCAATCATCTGTCTAGATCAAATTAGTCAGACAATTTAATTGATATGTAATTTTTAAGTTTTAGATCTGTTACAATTGTTATTGGGACTCTTTTTACTGATCTGTTACAACTGTTGTTAGGACTCTTCTTAGTAGCCCAAGTTTTTAGAATTAATGGTGTTCCAATAAATTCTATTCAATCAAAAGTTTGAATATATTTTGTCTTAAAGGTTGCTCCAGTCCTCTGTGTGTATGTGCTATTATTGTTATTATTATTATTATTATTATTAAATAATCGTGAGGTTCTTATTTACTTCAAGTTAATTTCTTTTGCAGTTTGCAGTTTCATCTGGGATCATAACAGCTTGTACTATGGGCAGCCTTTTCAAGTACAGTGATAAGACAGTGGTGTTTGCATATTTCTTTTGCTTTGGACTCAGCGCAATTACACTGTCATTTTTAATCTCTACATTTTTCACACGATCAAAGACAGCCGTGGCAGTTGGAACCCTCTCTTTTCTTGGGGCCTTCTTTCCTTATTACACTGTCAATGATGAGGCTGTACCCATGTGAGTACTCATGCTATGAACTATCGTACATGGTGTCTCAACTGAATAGAGTTTTATGGTTAATTCCTTTGTTTAAAACAATCGTATTATACAATGTAGATCTAATTCAATTTACATTTTTCTACTTATAGGGTATTGAAGATCATTGCATCTTTTCTGTCACCTACGGCCTTTGCTCTAGGATCAGTTAACTTTGCAGATTATGAGCGTGCTCATGTTGGACTTCGTTGGAGCAACATATGGCGGGTATATTTCGTGTATGGAGATTTTCCTACCTGCAATCATTTGGAACCCTTTATTTTTCTGAACTTTCTAAATTTTGATTCCTGTAGTCATCATCCGGAGTGAATTTTTTGGTCTGTCTCCTGATGATGTTGCTTGACACTTTGCTATACGTCATGATTGGTCTTTATCTGGACAAGGTATATCTTCACTACTCTTTCTTATCTTTCAAAGTCGTAGGATTTTTTCTGATTGGTATCTATTCTACTATTTAAGAAAGTGTCTGTTCCCTTAAAACTCAATGCAAAGAAAAAAAGAACAGTTTTTTTAGTAAGGATTTTTCGAGTATGTCTATCTAGAGATCAATAGAACTTAAAGTCAGTCGTTTAGCTTGGTGTACTTTGTTTAAATGGAATCATTTGTGGTTGCCTTATGTTGATCAATTTTAAGTAATTGAATATAACCAGAGCCACAACCACTATAAAAAACACTAGCACAACTGTTTTATCTTAATTAATACAAGGATAATTCAAAAACAAGATCACCTGGTCAATCTAGCTCTTCTGTGGGTGATTTGGCCATAAAGAATTATTGCACTATCGATGAGAAAAGAGAAGAAAACAGAGCAGTTTATAGTATAATGTTATCCAAGAGCTTTTTCAAGTCGTATCTGGTGAAGAGTTTAAGTTTCCAGGCAATATTAGGTTTGCCTCCCCAATGTACTCCTTTCCATCCTCTACTTTTCAACAAAAATGAAGAGAAAAAGAGAGATAATCTAAAGTACATACTTTAATCTGTCATATTTATAAGATTTTTCAGTTGTTAAACAACATTTTGTACAAAGGATCTTTTAAAAGAATGTCTACTTTTTATCAATTTTTGGAGATGCTGCTTATTTGGATAACAAGACATATAAGAATTGTTGAAGAAGCTCATTAATGATGGGGTCATAAAACAATTTTAGACTCTTCTTTTTTCATAGAGATTGCTTCAAGATTTTTTTTTTTTTTTTTTTGGCTTTTGGGAATCTTTATATTTGTGATTATTTGAATATGTGGAGGTGGATCTCTAATTCACTATCATTTATTACTAGCTTTATTGCAAATAATATATATTTTTTTTTCAATGTCCCATATATGTATATAATATTTTTATAAATTTATTAAAATGTTCACATATAAAGTGTGAAAAGAACAAAGTTTTTTTTGTTTTAGTACATCACAAAGTTCATTTTTTCATCTATTTGTGCATAAACCGCATTGAGGTAATATTGTTTGTTTGTACTTTTAACCTGAGCCCTTAGGGCATCCATTGAAACCCTTATATTTTACGAGTCAGGTTTGATAAACTGCCTGGTACTATAAGGATTGTTAATTCGTTGCAGGTGTCTTACATCTTTGGATAATATTCCTGGATTTTGTAAATTCTGTTATTATGTTTGACTTCCATTTTGTACAATATTGTATGGATGATGAAGCTTGTGCAAATATGTTCATTTGGTCAGGTCCTTCCGAGGGAAAATGGAGTGCGATATCAATGGAATTTCATATTCCAAAAGTGTTTCTGGAGAAAGAAAAGTATTATTAAGCATCATGTATCTAGTGCAGAAGTTAAAATTAATGATAAGCTTTCCAAGGAAGAGGTGAACTTTGTAAGAAAAGATATGTGTGAACCTGTTGTGGAAGCTATAAGCTTGGACATGAAGCAACAAGAGCTTGACAGAAGGTATATGTTGTGTAACTAGATGTAACTGCTCATACCAGAAGCTCTGGTTTTTCACTCACATTTTATGTTTGCCATGCAGATGCATTCAAATTAGGAACTTGCATAAGGTTTATGCTAGTAAAAAGGGGAATGGTTGCGCTGTTAACTCACTAAAGCTCACCTTATATGAAAACCAAATACTTGCACTTCTAGGTGAGTGTTTGCCATCCTCACCCCTTTTTTCTTTTTTTCTTTATCACATATGTTTTACTTCTATGCTTTTGGTCTTTTATTTCATTTATTTCTTCCGGTTTGATTCTTGAATTTCATATAATTAATGTATGTCTACGGATTTGGTTTATTACTTTCTGTGTCGAAGTGTGTTTACTACTATCAGATGCTATAAAGGTGTTACATTTAGCTTCATAACCAGGCAGTGAAGTTGAAGAAGGGAATAAAATGAATCCAAGGCTTAGGAATTAGCAATTTGGTGAGAAGAAATTTTGCTCTTAGAAAATGGCCATGGAGATTTTCGTTGGAAACTGATTAATATGGGCATGATGCCATCAAAGCAAATATTGTCTTCAAGTTAATGGCTCGAATTTTAATGACATAATGGAGAGTTCTAGTTGAAGTCCCTGGAAGTTATGATTTTTCAAGGATTCCTTAATGTTTTCCTTCTTTGAAGTTTGGTGTTGAGAAGATTAGAATTTCTTTGAAGGATATATGGTTTTGTGGAGCTTCAGTTCATCTACCTGTTTCTTTGACTATAGGAATTATCGTCTTTGGACATTCTTTTTACAAACATTTTGTAGAGTGGTTGACAGAGATTGATATGGTTTTGCTCAAGTTGGGGGCACATAAATTCATGAAGAAACTATAGTTTGTGAAAAATAAGCTAAAATATTGGAGCATTGAAGTTTTGGGGGTGTGAAAAGGGGAAGAAAAGTAGACAGAAAGGGAGAGTCCTGGGTCTTGAGAAATTAGAAGGGGAAGATTTGGAGGTGTATTAATTCATGAAGCTGTTGTTTGTGAAAAGTAAGCCAAAATTTCGGTACCGCTAAGTTTTTGGGTGGTGTGAAATTTGGAAGAAAAAGGAGATAGAAGGTTGAGTCTAGGATATTGACAATTAGAAGGGGAAGGTTTGCTAGATGATGCCCTGAAGAGATTTTAGTTTTAAACCATATTTTAAGAGTTAATGGGAGGAAATTCTTTGGAGACAAAAGGCTAATGGTCCTGGGACTAGGCATGATGACAAATAACACCAGGTTGTTCAATAAATTGGTTAATGGCAGGAAAAAAAGGAATCTGATTAACAGAATCAAGTCTTATGATGGTTCCTTTGTAGAGGCTGACTGGGGCATTGAAACATTGATTATCAAGTACTTCAAGGACTTTATTCTGATGGGGGAGTTAAAAGGCCTGCTATTCAAGGCTAGAATGGGTTCCTATTTGCTTTCTAAGGCTGCTTGGCTGGAAAGACCTTATGAGGTAGGGAGGTGAAAAAGGCAATTTAGGAGTGTGGTTCAGATAAATCTCTTGGTGTGGCTTTACTTTGGCTGTTTCTCATCACTATTAGATACTATTGAAAGAGGATTCATGAAAGTGTGGAGAATTCTTTGGGATTGGTGAAAAAAGCAATTTAGGAGTGCAATCCAGAGAATCTATAATACAGATTAGAAAGTAGAAACTCATGCTTTAGGCTGCAGGTCAGGAGGATCCTCAATTTTTTTTTGGGTGGCAGTATGGGGACGTCAACCTGATTAGAAACATTAGATCCCTTTGGGCCTTAATCATTGAAAAACAATCATTTCTTTTTGGTGGATGTTTTTGCCCTGAGTTATTGATTTTATATTTTAATCTTGAAGGACACAATGGAGCCGGTAAAAGCACAACAATATCAATGCTTGTTGGGCTGCTTCCTCCTACATCTGGGGATGCTTTGGTGTTTGGAAAAAATATCGTAACAGATATGGTAAGTGATGTTTTTCAAAATGCCTTTCTTCACCAATTGTTTGAATTGTATATATGTGGTAAGTTGTGTTTGTTAAAGTCCCCTTTTTTTCCCCACTTGGAAATTTGATGGATAATGTTAGATGATTGGAAAAGTTTTGGAAAAGTTTAGGGCAGAGCTATTTAAGAAAAAAGGTTTATCTTGATTATTATCTTTTTATTTTTAAAAATAAGAAATTATAAACTCTGTATTAAAAAGTAGAATATGAGGAGAAACCTATGTAGACTGTGTCCACAAAGAATTAAAAAACCAATGAGAAACAATTCTTTATCAAAAAGCCAAGGAGAAACATTTCAATCTTGATTATATTTATTTTAAAGCTTAATATAGCTGTAATCATAACTGCTAAGTTATCAAAACCAAAAACTTCAACTATCAATACAGTAATTGAGACCTTTAGCTCTAGTACAATGTTAAGATATCATTGCACCCAAAATCTTAAACTTATAAGTAAAAATCTCAATATTAGTATTTAAGCTCCAACACACACTAACACTACCGTAACCATGATTACTAATTATTGTTCAATAGGGATATTTGAGGAGAAGATAATTTAGTCAATTTGGCTTTGATACTATGTTCTCACTTGATCTAAAAAGCTTAAATCATTGAGTGGACCGAGCATTAATAAATAAGTCTGACAATTATAAAAGGAAATCCCAAAATTAACATAGAGAAGGGAAACCTTATTTCTAATATATTCTATCTTAAATTTTTACAATCATGTGACGCTATTTATGTATGAATAATTATGTTAATTAATATCTTTTGAGTCAGGATAAATGGAACTAATTTTATCTAAAATGATGTGAATTAAGATGTTTTTGCTAGATATGGGTTGGGTTGGGATGGTCAACTATGGTATTTGGGAGTTTTTAATTTAGCATTTTTTTGCTACTTATTGTCCTAAGAATGTTGCAAAATTTTTATGTCAATAATTAATTGCTTTGAGAAGATCTACTTTTGTTGACCTAACTAGTTAATGATTTGTCATTTTTACTATATTCTCCTTCCTTTTGTGTGGAGTTGGAGTTCTAATAGATGATCAACATGGTTATGTTTTGTAGGATGAGATACGGAAAGAACTAGGGGTGTGTCCTCAACATGATATTCTATTCCCAGAGTTGACAGTAAGCAAGAAGAATCAAGTTTTTTTTTTATAATTCACGTTTAATTGGTTTTATTTATATTTATTATATTGTAACATATATAAATTAAAAGAGATTGTAAACGGGTGAATTGTGAAATGCCAAAGTTAATTCTTCATAAATCATTATGATACAAATGACGCCCCTATATATGGTAAGTGGGCCACCTAATTTGACCTATTGAAATTGGACACAACATTTGCCACACGTCTCATGGTGGCATAATGTTTAGAAGATGTGAAAATTTGGTGGAGATCCAGCTGTCCACAATACTCTCCCTTGAATATCCATCAATACAAATAATTGTATTTAGTTTTACTGAGGAAAAAACCCTGTAAGATAAAAACCTAACTTGTTTGGTTTCTCTATCCAGGTTAGGGAGCATTTGGAGATGTTTGCTATATTGAAGGGTGTGAAGGAAGATATTTTGGAGAATGTTGTAACTGATATGGTCGATGAAGTGAGTTAATGTCTTTTTAATTGAGAGTAGTCCATGTATTTGTTCACCAAGTTTTCTAAATTATAAGGTCATGTGATTAACTTTGGATTAAGATATAAAATGTTCGGTTGATCTCTTTTTGTTTAGTTTTTGAAACCCTTTCAGGGTTTCCAGGACAGCTTGTCTTTTCTACTGTTCATCTTGTCCTTTATTTAGTATCTTTATTTTATTTGGTACAATTTTTCTTTGTTTCCTAGAAAATTAAGAATAAAAAAAGATATCGAACTTTCAGCCATCACTTGCTATGGATGGGTTCCTTGCTTCAGCTATCTTCACTAGTTTTCTTTGTTTTTGTTTTTTTCCTTAGCGTAGGATTGTAAAACATTTTATATTTTAAGGATGTACCATGGTTGAAATAATATTAATATTAAATCAAATGAATTACTGTTGAATTGGTGAATTTTGCAACTTTCAGCAGCCTAATGATTTTTTCCTTACATGAAATGTCTTGTGCCTTGAATTTGCTCAAGAGATTTTTTTTTTTTTTTTCTTTTGGGTGGGTTAGGGGGTGGTTATGGATTGATATGTTAAAGGTTTGTTTTAACATATAGGGGATTGATTGTGTAGTATGGTTTTAGCATGCATTTAAAAGGAATTATTATGCAACATGATCTACGAGCATCCCCAGTGACTTCCTATATTATGTCTAGAAATATTATACATCCCAAGTAGTATCCCAAAATTCTCATCATAAGTGATTTATTTTATTGTTTAGCATTGATGTGGTGATACCGAAGTGTCATCATATGTGGCATTACCAAGTCAATTATCATGTAAGCATTACATGTCAATGTTACACAAGAAAACAGAACAATTAAGATGAGAATTTTGATACACTACGTGAGATGTTCTCTACTTCAAGTTAGATTATGTTCTTGTTATGTGCATACCAAGTTGTTTATTTTTGTGATATTAAAAAATCCAACTCATATGGGAGATTCCAAATTATTATCTTATAGACATCAAAGTATTCATTCTTTTATATGATAAAAAGAGAATGAAAGGGGTTGGGGGAACCTAATGGCTATGCTGAAGTCAGGGTTAATGCAGAATTAGAATATTATAGCTTATTTTCATCTAGATTTCTTTGAGTTTCTGTCTTTTCTTGTTCTCATTACAAATATCAATTGCTAATGTGTTGTCGTGGACTCATACACACTTGAGCTGGGGGATCAACTTCTTTTCCCCTTAGAGATGGGATTTGAATTATGGTTTTTGATTGAAAGGTGTGACAAGAAAGAGAGAAATAAAGAAAAAAAAAAAAAAAAAAATTCTAATACATGTCACTTTATCTACTTTTGAATTTCTAACCTGATATGCTTTCTACAAGTTGACATGGCACATTTATTGTATTTTTACTTCTTGATATGTGATCAAGTTAGAAGGTTGCATTATTTAACTGCTAGCTAAAATTATTTTGGTCAGGTGGGTTTGGCTGATAAAGTCAACACAGTTGTGAGGGCTCTTTCTGGTGGTATGAAGAGGAAATTATCTCTCGGAATTGCTTTGATAGGAGATAGCAAGGTGGCAGAAATTTCAGGGCAAATAGTTGTTATTGTCTATTTGTGGGAATTTATTGAATTGTTTCTTGTATTTTCTGTCACAGGTTGTAATTCTTGATGAACCCACTAGTGGAATGGATCCATATTCAATGCGCTTGACCTGGCAGTTAATTAAAAAAATAAAGAAAGGAAGGATTATATTATTAACAACTCACTCAATGGATGAAGCTGATGAACTAGGAGATAGGATAGCTATCATGGCCAATGGTTCTTTGAAATGCTGTGGAAGGTTAATTTTGTTCTCCCCCCTTCTGTTTTATTTTGATGACCATTCTTATGTAAATTCTGAAATGCCCAAATTTCAACAGTTCCCTTTTCTTGAAGCATCAATATGGTGTTGGATATACTCTTACCTTAGTGAAGGTTTGCTACTAATACGTTCATTCATCTGTACATTATCTTGAATTGTCTTTTCTTAATTGTTTAGGCATGATATGCTATTGAATGGCCTTATTTTATGCTGTTCAGTCTGTGCCCACTGCCTCTACAGCTGCTGATATTGTTTATCGTCATATTCCATCAGCAATGTGTGTGAGTGAGGTATTATCTTTTTTTTTTTCTTTTTCTTTTTCTTTTTTTCCCTATAAGTAACTCACTGATATATTCCACCCTTATACTGAATTTTGTTTTGCTTAAACAATTAAATTCCTGCTGATGTAGTATTTATTCCTTGTAATCTCCAAGTTTTTAGCATCTTTGATATAACTGCAACTTTTATTGAGCTTCTAAAACATTATACTAGAATGGGCTCACTGTCATTTGTAATGTTTTATAATAAGAATGTATTACGTGGAAATTTTTTGAAGGGGGTTAAGGTTTACAATGTATTACGCTATTAGCTTCATTTTTTATATTATTTATAGATAGCCTTAATGTGTGCTCTAAGGGTATATGATAGGGCTACAAGAAGATAAACTCTTTTACTATATGAATGCCATTTATTTACAAAAAGACATGAAAACACAATTTCCATGCACTGATATAATAGAATTTTTTATTTCAGTGGACTTAACTTAGGGCACATGTTATGGCCGGCCTTCTTTTTTATTTATTTTTGGAATTAGAACATCCCATGCCATTTATGTCAGAATGTTGGTGTTCTTCTTGATGAGTTTCAATAATTACGTTGCATTGAACTTCATGTCCTGTAAGCTATCCATTAATCATCAAATTACTTTTTATATCCAAAGAAGGCCAAGAAATGAAAAAAGCAAGAATATTTCTGGTTTGCCAGAATTGGTTTAATGTAAATGTACTTGATGAACGTTTTCAGATCAACGTTTGTTTTGGTAATAATGATTAACAATTTGCTGTACCTCTGTCATATATAATTTTTATTAGCCCTGTGAAACCTTGTTTCCCAGAATAATCCTCATCTATACCATATTCATGATATTATTGACTGCCTTTCCAGGTTGGAACTGAGATCACCTTCAAGCTTCCCCTGGCATCTTCATCGTCCTTTGAAAATATGTTTAGGGAAATAGAAAGTTGTATGAGAAGATCAAATTCTAATGTCAAAACACTTGGTGGTGAAGATAAAAAAATTTTTGGCATTGAAAGTTATGGTATATCTGTCACAACGCTGGAGGAAGTATTTTTAAGAGTTGCGGGTTGTAATTTTGATGAATCTGACTGTACAAACGAGGCAAATAATTTTGTTACACCAGATCTTGTGGCTTCTCATGCTTCTCACGAACAATCTTCCAAACAGATTTCCCTTGCTAAATTATCTGGGAATTATAAATGGCTAGTTGGATTCATTTTTACTGTAGTGCAGAGAGCTTGTGGTTTGATTTTTGCCACTATTGTCAGTTTCTTGAACTTCTTAAGTATGAAGTGCTGTTCGTGTTGTATCATTCCAAGGTCAATGTTTTGGCAACATTGTAGAGCATTATTTATAAAGAGGGCTGTATCTGCTCGTAGGGACCGAAAAACAGTTGTGTTCCAGCTTTTGATTCCTGTTATCTTCTTGTTTTTTGGTCTTCTTTTTCTGAAGCTTAAGCCACATCCTGATCAGCTGTCAGTGACCTTCACAACTTCAGAGTTTAATCCTCTGTTAAGTGGTGGTGGTGGTGGTGGTCCTATTCCTTTTGATCTATCCTGGCCTATTGCAAACGAGGTCTGTTGTAATTAGCGATTTTTTGAGGTGTTTTATTCTCGTCTTATTTTTATTTGTATTGTATTGTGTATAGTTTTCAAACTTCTTAAAGTTTCCTGGCTATTGGAGCTCATTTGGATGACATGCAAATAAAATTTTCTATCCCCTTAAAAAAGTTCTTCATGCCGCAGGTTTCAAAATACATTGAAGGGGGTTGGATTCAAAGTTTTAAAAACAGTACATATAAATTTCCCAATTCAGAAAAGGCACTAGCTGATGCAGTTGAGGCAGCAGGGCCAATTCTGGGACCAGTTTTACTCTCAATGAGTGAATTTCTTATGTCAAGCTTTAATCAATCCTACCAGTCAAGGTGCGTGACCTGAATTTTCAAATTACTTCTTTCTGTTTGAATTTCAAATATTTGTTTGCCTTTTCTTTTAATCTTCAATGATGTCTGTGGATAGCCAATTGGACAACAAAGTGAAACCATTTTCATAGCGTTCTCAAGGAGAATTTTGTTATTGACATCTGTATATAGTATAAAGAAACTGAATCATGTCAACAAGAAGGTTAAAGTATAATTAGAAGTGCTGCATATTTCACTTAGGTCTCAAATACAGTCCTTAAAGTTTCATTTTGTTTAGTTTGATCCTTGGAAGATTTTTAGTTGCATCACTCTTGTGAAACAGAGGATTAACATTCTAGGATTTTTTTCCTTCTCAAAAAAGAAGACATTTCATGGTTTTTTTAGCCAAGCGTCGCTGACAAATTTTCGAAGTTCTAAATAGCAGACTATTATTGATCCTATGACCTTAGTAGTTGAGACACGTGTGAGATATAATATCCTAAGTAGGTGTCTCTCAGGGAAGTTGAAGCCATGACCGATTTGTTGAAGCCAAAGGCCTTAACTGCTGAACCCAGCCCTTGGGGTTGAATTAAAATGCCAGGTTGCTGAGGAGGTGTTAATGTTTTTAAAAAAAGATGAAGTGGATATAAAGAAAGAGGTAGAGTGGAGAATAGGAAGGCCCAGAAGACATGGATAAGACAGTAGAATAGGAAAATATTGCATGGGAGGACATATTAGAGATAATTGCTATGCATAAAACAGAATGACACAGAAGGATACTACCTGATCATAGTAGATATAATTGCTATGCATAAAACAGAATGGTGCAGAAGGATACTACCTGATCAAGTAGTATTCTTGGTTTTTTATTCTCTCCATATTGTGTTTTCTTCTGTTATATTCTGCAATTATTATTTTTATATAATAGCNAGGTGTTAATGTTTTTAAAAAAAGATGAAGTGGATATAAAGAAAGAGGTAGAGTGGAGAATAGGAAGGCCCAGAAGACATGGATAAGACAGTAGAATAGGAAAATATTGCATGGGAGGACATATTAGAGATAATTGCTATGCATAAAACAGAATGACACAGAAGGATACTACCTGATCATAGTAGATATAATTGCTATGCATAAAACAGAATGGTGCAGAAGGATACTACCTGATCAAGTAGTATTCTTGGTTTTTTATTCTCTCCATATTGTGTTTTCTTCTGTTATATTCTGCAATTATTATTTTTATATAATAGCTGATGCACATAAGTAATTAAAAAAGATAATTCATTTAATTCATGTGCTCATTTTCTTGCCATGTTCATTTATTGTCACTTATTGTATCATATATAAAATTTACTCTTTGAGGTAGTTTTCTAGATTTGTTTTCTGAAGTCCCAAGTGTGGTTTTCTTTTAACATTTTGCTTGTGAGCATTCTGAATATAAAGAAAATCCTGTTGTTAGTATCTACAACATTTTGATTTAATTATCTTTTTGCACTGTGATGTTTATTCATATCCAGATATGGGGCAGTTGTGATGGATGATCAGAATGGCGATGGAAGTTTAGGATTCACTGTACTACATAACAGTTCTTGTCAGCATGCAGCTCCAACTTATATCAACGTTATGAATGCTGCAATCCTTAGGCTTGCTACTCGTAATAAAAATATGACAATTCGAACACGCAACCATCCTCTGCCCATGACAAAAAGCCAGCGGTTACAACATCATGTATGGCATCCCATTCATTTTCATGTATTTTCAAGTATATATTCTTGAAACTGCAGGGTTAAGTCTTTTGCTTTAAGATATATATGAGAATATTAATTCCATTGACACCCACTTGATATACACAGATTTACACTTGAGGAAATCAGGAAGGGTTTAAAAGTTGAATAATTCATTCAACACTTACAGATCACATTGCAACACTCCATATACTAGCAACAGTCTTATAAGAAATGCATTTGAAGTATTTTCACCTTGATGTTATTTGGTTTTTTATTTTTTTCACTGGTTGCTGAAAGGAACAGATTGCAAACACACCATATTTTATTTTCTCTTTTGAAGTTATTTGGTTATTTATTTCTATAACAAAGGGGATATGTTGTGTAGTTAGGAAATCCAATATCAGTCTTGATGCTTAAAATAGTCTGCAAGTTCATTTTAAAATTGTCTGATGTTAGTTATAGAAGAATGATCTGTTGACACTTTAAAGAACACAAATGCAACACTATTTTTATGATGGGGTGGAAAATGGATAGGATTTCTCTAGTTACATATCATATGGACGATTTTCATGTGTTTTTTTTTTGTTCTTAAATGTTTTTTGGGTTTCTTCTGTTTTTTTTTAAGATTACATGATTAAATTATGAATGAAATATCACAAACTATTAACATATCTTTGTAACAGAGGCTGCATAGTTTCTTGTGGCTATATTATTTCTTTTTCTTCACTTTGTGGCTTTTTTGTATGGCAACTTAGTGTTCCATGTGGTAAGGACTCCATCTACTTGTGTCAAAAAGAGGTCTTGAGAGACCTACATGAAATTTTTTCTTGTGTTAACATTTGGTATAAAGTGAGTGAATTTTATATTTTTACCATGTTGCTCCTATCTGCTTTAGAGAATCTAAGTTTTTACCAGTTTCTTGACATCATAATATCCTTCAATTTTCAAATTTGTAGGATCTGGATGCCTTCTCTGCGGCAATTATTGTTAGTATTGCCTTCTCATTTGTTCCTGCCTCCTTTGCTGTTTCCATTGTAAAGGTAAACTTTTAGGAACTTCTCTAATATTTGAATATTGCTTCATGATTAATATATTTTGTGTGTGTGTGTGTGTATATATATATATATATAAATAAAGAAATTAAAAAGGCTCAGCCATAGTCTGGACCCCCATCATTCATCAATAAATAGTTGCATTATAGCATGGAGTTCTCTGGTCTTCCTAGCATTGTGAATTCAGCAACTGGTATTGTTCCATTAGTTTCTTCCTTCTTGTTTTTGGTTTCTGTGTCTGCTGAAATAGTGAAATACACATAGCATACTCTTGAATTCNCTCCTATCTGCTTTAGAGAATCTAAGTTTTTACCAGTTTCTTGACATCATAATATCCTTCAATTTTCAAATTTGTAGGATCTGGATGCCTTCTCTGCGGCAATTATTGTTAGCATTGCCTTCTCATTTGTTCCTGCCTCCTTTGCTGTTTCCATTGTAAAGGTAAACTTTTAGGAACTTCTCTAATATTTGAATATTGCTTCATGATTAATATATTTTGTGTGTGTGTGTGTGTATATATATATATATATAAATAAAGAAATTAAAAAGGCTCAGCCATAGTCTGGACCCCCATCATTCATCAATAAATAGTTGCATTATAGCATGGAGTTCTCTGGTCTTCCTAGCATTGTGAATTCAGCAACTGGTATTGTTCCATTAGTTTATTCCTTCTTGTTTTTGGTCTTCTATGTCTGCTGAAATAGTGAAATACACATAGCATACTCTTGAATTCACCTATTAAAATGTTAATTATCATGTATGATGTTAAAATTTAATATTGGTTTCAAGAGATCACCTGTAGCCAATAAATGTTATATGTTCTCATTAGCATATTGTCAAGTGTTTATTTCGGCAACCCTGTGCATATCCATGTGCTGATCAGATCCATTCTCGTCAGAACTATATATAGACTTCATATGCCCTCTTCAGATATTAAGTGAATGCTATGATAAATTTACCAAGCTTTTTACTTTGTATGGATAAACAAAGACATGATAGAAAAAGTAGCATGCCCCTCCCCTCCTTAAACTTGTGTACGGGTATTATGAAGTAAGTTCTGTAACCGGGAAGGCTCCTCAAACCTAAACCTTGCTTTGTTATTGCTCATTTATCCCGTCTTATGAATTTTTTATGAAACAGGTTTAACCTCAAGACTGCTTTTTCTCAATTTGTTTAAATTTGTCTGATATCGCTGTTGATGGTTTCTTTACATATCAATGAAGTATATGCTAGTTTTGGCTCATATACGAACAAACTGCTAATTGTTGATTGTGTGTTATGTTGACTATTTTGAACCTGTATTAAAATAGCGTTGGTTATCTTGGCACTGATTGAGCCACATACCTAACTAGATACTTTTTAGTGAAGAATATTGCTCATTTCTACAGTATGCTGTTATATCTTTTATCGTGGTCAATTATATCCAAGGATGAAGGCTTATAGGATCTTTATATTATTGATTTTATTATTTTGTCATGGAACTTTTTCTACAATCTTATTTGATGCAGGAACGTGAAATAAAAGCTAAACATCAACAATTAATTAGTGGGGTATGGGCTTTCTTTAAAAAATTCAGCTTCTTTAAATTGTTAAATCAATACTCTTGTAATAATTATTGCAAAATGCTATTCAGGTTTCTGTATTCTCATATTGGACTTCTACATACATATGGGACTTCATCAGCTTTTTATTTCCTTCAAGTTTTGCCATAATTCTCTTCTACATATTTGGTATGTTGCGAGACTTTCCTTACTAATTGCATAATTGTTGTCAATTCAGGCTAAATTCTTTTTTCTTATATTTGTCAATATAAATATAATTTGATTTCCCACTATATCCTCAATTTGCAGTGTCAAAATGCTTTTTTTTTTTTATAATTATCCAATTAAAAAAAGGGCAAATGCTTTGGTTGTTTTTAGCTATCTGAAGTGATGTTTCAAGCATCAAAAGTTTATTGCTACGCTAAAATATCTTATATTTATTCCTTACTAAGTAATTGATTATCATTGTCAATAATGTTACATTTCTAAAAAGTTACATTGTCTTGTAAGCAGATGATTGAAATTTTAAATATATGCATGAATTTCAGGAACTCAATGTGCATGTTGATTTGGACATTTTGGTTATAATAACAGTTAAGGAAGACTTTGCTATTGTATAAATTAAATTATAATTAGTTGTGTTTGTGGTTATCAGAAAAAGTTGTATCTGTGGTTGTGGGTTGTGATTGTCTTTTTGAATGACCCAATGCAATTGTACGTGAGGGGGCATGTTTTTGCTTATCCTTTTAGATCAATCGGGTGCTTAACAAATTCATCATATCTTCTTTTCCTTTTGATAATTAATTTTTCTTTGAGGTGCACTGTTTGTCATACGGCATTATCCATTTCTTATTCTCTCTCTTTCTTTTTGTTTTTTGGTTTAAAATTCTTTTTATAATCTTGGTCACAAAGATTATTTGGGTTTGTAGGTCTTGATCAGTATATTGGAAGGGACTGCCTGTTGCAAACAGTCCTCATATTTTTGGAGTATGGATTGGCAATTGCATCATCAACATATTGCCTGACTTTCTTCTTCTCTGATCACACAATGGCTCAGGTGTCATACTATTACTTCCTTTTTTTCTATTACTGACTTCCAGGTCATCAAGATTACTCTCATATATAGTCAATTTCTATTGTACATGCAGAATGTAGTTCTCTTGGTCCACTTCTTCACTGGACTAATTCTCATGGTTATCTCGTTTATTATGGGGCTCATACCAACAACAGCAAATGCAAATTCTTTTCTCAAGGTTGGATTCCATTCTTTTTTAAATATTTGTAGAATTCAAGAACGGAGTTTTTCTAAGTTTTGAGTCATTTCGTATTCCCCCAACCTTCATAATTGAGGTGCAACTGCTTTATGTGTGTGTGTGTGTATATATATATATATATAGACTCCACCCCTTAGCAATCAAAGCCGAAAGGGAAGCAAAATGGCAAATTCTATCCCACAGCTCACTTTGATTTTTTCTCCTCTCTGAAAACCTAATTAATTCTTTCTAGCGAAATCACCCGAAGATTAACTGAAATTCCAAGGGAATTTTTGAACCTCTTTCCTCTTCCAATTAAAGGTAGCAACTTCTACCATAGGAAGTGGATCACAAGGATTCATGATGGCCTCTGACATCTTAGATTCTATATAAGCTCTTGCCCATAAATTTAAGGCTACAACACAATGAATCAAAAGATGATTGGATGACCCTTTACCTCTCTAACATGTTATAACGAAGAATGAGAAACTCCTCTTAGGATACTTTTTTTTACTCTTTTCAGCTTCAATTGAATTTTAGTTTGAGTTTGCTCAGGCACTGCCTTTATAGTTGTTGTTGCATTGTGGAGGTTGAAAGACAATCAGTGAGGGAGGGATTGTATTTGGTTTTAACTGTTTCGTTATCTTAAGATGTATAATTACATACATGTTACATGCTAGGGTTTTTAATAAAGTTCTCACACGGTTCAAGCAGTGGAGTTATATTTTTTTAGGAAGCATTGAAGGACCGTACTATATTATTGAAAGAAAGAGATAAATACACTAATAATCAGTTATCCTCTTAAGAGGTCAAATTATTCCCTTAGAAAGGGTAAAACTGTACGAAGAAGTCTTCAGATATTTGAGGAATTAAAGAAATCCAATACACCCTCTTTAATTCCTGCAATTCAAATGGTGCTTCCACGTATGCCATCTTTGTTTCATTAATAGGACACCAACCCAAACCTTGATATTCCAGGTCTACTTTTTTATCGTTGCACTTAATCTACTTCGCTGACAGTTTTGAGAGCTATTAATCACTTAATGAGCTGATTATATTTTCTAGGTAGCTTCTTACTAAATGTTGATGAAATTCGTCTGACTTTTGTAATATACCTTTTCAGAATTTCTTCAGATTGTCACCAGGGTTTTGCTTTGCTGATGGGCTTGCTTCATTGGCTCTTTTACGGCAAGGGATGAAAGTAAAATCTAGCAATGGAGTTTTTGATTGGAATGTTACTGGTGCCTCCATTTTTTACCTTGGTTGTGAGGTGAATTTTTACAATTCAGGCATTTGTAAATGAAACTATTCTTCTTTATGTTTGTTGATGATATGATTATCTTGACATAATAGGTTTTAGAGGTAACAGAGATGTCCATAGTAGGAGTAGCATGCTGTTTAACTTGATAAGGAGAGCATGCAGTCCGAATTTTAGTCCCCATCTGTTTCATGATGCTGTAGGGCATCATACGGATCAACTCATTTATGTTAGTAGTAGACTAAAGACTCAGCATTTATTTTCCTATTTCTTTTTTCTAAAAATCTTTATTGTCCTATTTTAGGATGTATTTCTTTCAGAATATGTTTTCCTAAATATGTAAATGTATTTGAACAAGGAAAGAAAGACTAACATGAAGTCAGTCAATGCTCTAATTCATAACTTTCAACTATGACAGAGTGTTTGTTACTTCCTTTTAACACTTGGACTTGAAGTTTTGCCTTCTCACAAATGGACTCTTGGGAGAATTAAAGAGTGGTGGAAGCGTACAAGAAATCTCCAGTGTGATAATCCTTCTAGTCATTTAGAGCCGCTACTAAAATCTCCTGCAGAAACTGTTGCTGTTGACTTTGATGAAGATATAGATGTGAAGACAGAAAGAAACAGAGTACTTTCTGGTTCTGTTGATAATGCCATAATCTACTTGCGTAATCTTCGAAAGGTATTTTCGTAATGTTCTGTCCTCAAGTTAGTCTTTGGAATCGTCTTACTGCATCAATTTATCATTATCTAATAGTGATTTTCACGCATTTCAGATTTATCCTGGAGGAAATAATTATGATCCAAAAGTAGCTGTTCATTCATTGACTTTCTCAGTTCAAGCAGGAGAGTGTTTTGGTTTCTTAGGAACAAATGGAGCTGGGAAGACTACAACTCTGTCAATGCTATCTGGTATATAACAAGTCTTTGCCAAAATACAGTATTGTTTATTTGTGAAGCTCTTAATATAAAGAATATTATTTACTCCAAATATCGTTTATAAGTTGATTGTTCAATTTGTTGGACCATTTTGCTTCATAAGGAATAATTATGTAGTATGATAGATCATAATGAAAAATTAACAGTATTATAGATATTAGATAATTATGTCACTAATCCAATAGTAACATTTCTTATATTAGCATTGAAATCTCTGCCTTTCTGTGCTTCTGCATGTTGTAATAATGTGTTCATGCATTTTGAAAAGATACGTTATTCTTCTATGCAGGAGAAGAATACCCAACAGATGGAACTGCTTTTATTTTTGGCAAAGACATATGTTCAAATCCCAAGGCTGCCCGTCGGCTTGTATGTTCTGATTCAATTATTTTATCACTTTGTAATTTGATATATACAACTGTTGAAAAATAAGTTTGATCTAACTTTTTTTTTTTTATATAATCATTGACAGATTGGTTATTGCCCCCAATTTGATGCTCTATTGGAATATCTGACTGTCAAAGAACATCTTGAACTTTATGCGAGGATAAAAGGAGTGCCAGATTACAGGATAGATGTACATACATATAGTTAAATCTTTATGGTAATAAGAATAAGGGACGTAACCACCAAACAAGTATTGAAGACATCAAATTGTCAACGTAGTAAAATTAACTATAAGTTCCCAAACCAACCCATAGTTGTCGGGATAAATTGGGAAAAAAAAAAAAAAAAGGAAAAGTAAATCCTCAACTTAAATGTTCAGTCTACCTCAACTGAGTATCAGGGTGTTAAACTATTTACAACTGACTAAAACATTTTTGTGGAACTTACAAAGGGCCGACGTTATAAGATGATAAATTTTCAACGGGTCGTCGTTAAAAGATGACGTAAAATTTACAACGTCCCGTCGTTAAAAAAAAGAAAAGAAAAGTAAATCCAGTTGAATTACAAGTTAGAGTTGACTCATAGTCCCACAACTACATAAATTTTTACTGATTTTGTGAAAATACCTTGAGTGTTGTACTGCTGCAATCTTCTGCTATATTTACAGAAGTTTCTTATAAAGCTTAAGGGGGTGGAACAAATGATGTGATCCTTTTTCTTCAACCAAGAATTCATTGGTTCAATTCTCTAATAACTAAAGATTATAAGTACCTATAGTATTGCTAAATTTTGGTGCACACATCGTGAAAATTATGGGTTATTAAAAACTTAAAGTGGAAATGTTTACATTGTGAGAATCGCATTATGGACCAGTAACACATCTGATGTTGTTGGCAGGTTGTCATGGAAAAGTTGGTGGAGTTTGACTTGTTGAAGCATGCTCACAAACCATCATTTACACTAAGTGGGGGCAACAAGCGCAAATTATCTGTTGCAATTGCAATGATTGGAGATCCTCCAATAGTCTTTCTTGATGAGCCATCGACAGGTATACACGTACTTCTCATTTTCACTCCTTACTGAAGGATCAATGTGTAATTGCTACTCTTAATATTTGTGGTCAAACTGTTTAGATTGTTTAGTAATAGACAGGCACAGTTTCTCCTTCCACATTTAGAATTTGATCGAATGGCTTGAAAATAAAGTATGGGAACTGTGCAATATGTTGTTAGTATTTTATCTTGATGATTGCTTATTATTTTTGCACTGTGACTTTTGCTAGTAATTTATTTCCCAAAAGGGGAAAATGTTTAATTGGAAAAAGATGATATTAGTTTATCCTTCATCATCACAAAATAAAAGGTTGTGTTAGTTTTGGAAAGTACCACTTTGCCTGTATGATCTGTAAATGCAGTCCCACCACCACCTCTGCAGTCTGCACTACTTTAATTATGGTTGTTGCTCTCTTATGACTGTTTTGCTGTGTTATCCACTAGCATCTTGTGAAGTAAATCGGCATTACTAATGTACAACCTTGGTTCAAAAGCTTTGTCTGATTTATATTGCACTCTGTATGTATAGTGCAAAATGTTAACATTCTTACAGTTGCGAAGCTTGAAATGTTGAAACTAATGAATATATTTTGAAATTAAATATTTTATGTTGTTATGCATTTCTTTTATAGAGGCAACATCTCAACTCATTACTGAAAGTTGTACTTTATAGATTTACTCTTTCTTTTTTCAACAGTTTGTTTCTATATTTTATTGGCTTGTTGCTGATTAATATAACTATTTCAGGCATGGATCCTATTGCTAAACGATTTATGTGGGAAGTAATATCTCGTTTATCGACAAGACAAGGGAAGACAGCTGTGATTCTTACTACCCACAGTATGAATGAAGCTCAAGCTTTGTGCACTCGAATTGGGATAATGGTATGAATTACATTTTACACTACAAGCTTTTGAGATTTGAGAAACTTCTTAGTGACCTTTGACAGGACTATTTAACTATCCTATTAGGTTGGAGGCCACTTAAGATGCATTGGAAGTCCGCAACATTTGAAAACGAGATTTGGAAATTATCTGGAGCTAGAGGTATTCATTATATGGAAGCTTTGTTTTTGATAAGTTTATAACTGATAACTAATTACTAAAATCTACTTTTGCCGATTCATAATACAAGATTTAAGTTCAATCAAATATATGATTCTGTTTTCCCTCTCAGGTTAAACCTACTGAGGTCAGTTCCATGGATTTAGAAAACTTTTGCCGAGTTATTCGACAAAGGCTCTTTGATATTCCTTCTCATCCAAGGAGCTTACTGGATGACCTTGAAGTTTGTATTGTTGGTCCTGACTCCATTACATCAGAAAATGCTTCAGTGGCAGAGATTAGCTTGTCAAAAGAAATGATAGTTACAATTGGCCGTTGGCTTGGTAATGAAGAAAGAACGAAGACTCTTATATTTTCAACATCTGTCTCTGGTGGGTCTTTTGGTGAACAGTTAACAGAGCAGTTGATTCGGCATGGTATGAATGATCCTTTTACATTTTGATATATGGCTTCAACTACTTTGGATATTTTGAGATGTGACTAGATACATCTTCTAGGATTTTATTTTTTCAAATTTCTTTTAACAAACTCTCTCACATGGTTGCTCCTGCAACTTGATATTAAGGATTCACTGAACAAAAAACATATTTCTTTGTATGGTTGCCCTTGTTGATCACGTGGCAATCACCTTGATGACTGCAGTTTCTATATTTCTCATTGGCATTTGCATAAACAGGCTGATACCATCAGAGTTCATCATGGCTTTTCAACTTCCACTAGCTATTTTCCTGAATTATTTTGTTAGTTGTATAGCATAATTGTTTTCTCAAATTTTTTTTTTTTTTTTTAATGTATGCAAGGCTAACTTTGTGCGTCTTGCGCATCTTTTTGGTTAGTCACAGTACGGAAGATCATTTTATTGTTTATTTATCTTCCTCACAATGTATAGGTGGTATACCTTTGCCGATATTTTCTGAGTGGTGGTTAGCCAAAGAAAAGTTTTCGGTGATTGATTCTTTTATCCTGTCTTCATTTCCTGGCTCTACATTCCACGGATGCAATGGGTTGAGTGTCAAATATCAGGTAAATTTGGTGGTTTCTTGGTTTTCCAATGTCTTTCACTATGGTATATCACATGTAACTAAAAGAATGCTTTTACTGCCTAATAGAATTCCATATTGCTCTAGAAGATAGAAAGTTTTAAATCGAATGAAAGCTAAGCAAATGTCTGTTCTAACATGGAAGTATCTGATTTCATTATCATATAGAAATATTATATTATCATCGTAGTGTTGAAAAGACTATTGGAATTTTTTAAGAGAGGAAGGGTAGTACATAAACGTGGTTGAGTGGGCTCACTGAATACTTTGCAAGGCCTGTTTCTATGTCTGTGTCCATTTGTTTCAACATTGAAGATTCAGAGACTTACATACTGTAGATCCTCCTTACAACAATTACCATCACCAGAATGGGTTTCCTGTTAAGACTCTGATGCCAGTGGATATGGATGTGGATCTCAACATGCAATGTGAAAGGATGTGGATCTCAACATGCAATGTGAAAGGATGTAGCCTTAGGTTGAATCTGAAAAGTATAGATAGAAATAATATCAAATCCGCTTGGGTCTCCTGTTTCCATTGAGATGATTATGAAATTTGTGAGATTTTAGTAATCAGAAGAACTATATGCAACTTTGCCCTTTCGTGTTATTTAGGCTACTTATAATGGTTAGAAACCTTTCTAAAATTGACCCTGCCTAATGTTAGAATAACTGAGGTTAACTATTGACTTTAAGAATAGCAAGTCATGCATAAATAATTGACTATAGCCCTGATAATGTTTGCAAATTTTTAGATCTGGCCTTTAGTGCCAGCAGAAGGTGTGTTTGTGTGATGTGGTGTATAGCGGCTTCTTTGTCTCATATTTAGGGTTGTCTTGTACAATTCAAATGGTAATTGATCCAGGATTTTACTGCAGTTGCCATATGGAAAAGGCCTCTCGCTTGCTGACGTTTTCGGACACCTAGAACAGAACAGGTGACGCATTTTTAATTCTTTGTTTCATTTTTTTCTTGAAATTGGGCTTATGAAGCTTACCGGTTTTCGGAATTCTTTGTCAGAAATCGACTGGGAATAGCAGAGTACAGTATCAGCCAATCAACTCTGGAAACCATATTTAATCATTTTGCTGCAAACTCATGACATATCAACACTTATAGGTTAAATTTTTCTGACCCTTGTTATGTCTTAGGAGGGTTCAAAGAGCGTATGTTTTTCCCCTAGGCTAGGACACAAAATAGTTTACAGAATTACAGGCCCTTTGTAAATATGAGAGATGGGCAATGTTCAAATTTAAAATCTTGGCATATTAAATTGTAAATTCTCATTACATGTGATATGCTACATATAGAGGAATTACAAGTGCTCTCATGACAATACAATAGAAATAGATGCAGTAGTATTATCTTACTCTCATTTGGTTCGTAATGTTGAGCCATAGTTATCTTAGGCCTTTAGCTACAATATGATTTTGTTATTTATATTTCGATTCAGAATTTTCGCATTTGAGGTCTATCTTGTATGCAGTAATCTGATTGGTAGTTAGAATATATAAATGACAATATTATTATGCATAACATGAATTTATTTGTTGGATATATGCACTTAAAATGGTTCAATGTTTGCTTCTTTTTATTTTTCTTTAAATGAGAAATATTATATTTGAGTTCATTTCACAGTAAAAAAATTCGTTAATGTCAGTTACGAATTTCATATTTGTATTTGTTATAGCCATTGCTCAACCCGATGGTGAATGCTGATCTGTAATATGGAAAGATGTACTTTCAAGAATTAGTCTTGTAATCCATAAGTGTAGTTTAAGGGTTTTGTTTGGTAGCTTTAATTTAATTGTCTTTATTCAACTTTGAAATAATCAATTTAAAAAATAAGTAACAGTGTGTAGAGACATTCTTAAAATATTTTTGTAATTTTAAATTTGTATTTTGTAAGTATTTAATGAATATTAGAAATGTATTAAAATAATATATATTAAATAAATTAGTAATTAGTTAATAATTTAGAAGAATTTTAAATGTATACATTTTATCTAGTTGACGCCGGTCAATCAGTAGTTAACGTCAACCGATTGGGGATCAATGTTGGTCAATGTCAAACATGGGTGTGTTGGTCATGAATTTTTTGACGAAACATTTGTCTACCTTCTGCGGCAAAGCAATCGGAATTCATTAGACTAACTCACGTTGGTCTAGACAGGACCTGACTGTGAGCCCAATACGCTTTGTTAGCCGTGGCCAAATGCCAGTGGCAGCCGTTCGAAACCGTTGGGCCTTCTCCTATTTCATAATCTTATAAAGATTATTAAATTTTAATTTTATTTTCATTTTGTAATTTTAAGAATTATATGTTTGGTATATTTGTCATTTAATATTCACTATCAACTTATAAAATAATGTAATTTTCAAAAGCTACTCCTCCTAAACGAAAATTCTTTATAAATTCATTATTTTTATAATTAGCTTGGAGCTTAATCATCTTAACTAACTCATAAGCTACAATAATTTCAAACACATTAAGTGGGTATTTGGTTCAAAGAATGTTGTATTAGTAAAATATTATATTAATGAAAAGATATATTACCTTGAAGATTATTAGAAGGGTGCATTTGTATCGGAGGCATATAAGATAACGGTGGTAATTTTCGTTTATTTTGCAAGATTCTGGTGTTTGGTTTGTAAGTAATAAAATATTACGAGAATCTTTTATTGTAAATAATGTTTACTGTTGGTAATGTTGGAGGTAATCTGATACCCTCCCCACACTGGGATTAAAACATTGTCATGTAATCTTATTTTTTTACCTATTTTGTCCTTAATTAAATATCATTTTGGACACAACTGCCTTCAAATGTCTACCAAATAACAATTACCCCAGCCCCCCTACATTTGAGCAATTAGCTAAAACACCTCATCCACAAAAAAGTTTAAAAGTTAACAAAAGAACCTCAACTACCAAAGACCATCGTCGGTCATTACTCACCATTGTCGGCCGTTGATGTCAAAAGCCGTAATGGTGCATAACTGACAGGATTTGGCCTGTCGTGCGCTAGTAAGACCTTTTCCGACCACGGATCTGTTGGAAACGGCTAGATTTGGCATTTCTATGGCCGTGAAACAACCATAGATTTGGCCGTGAAAAGGCCAAATCTTTTGCTGTGAAATGGCACAGCTAAAGATCCGGCCTTTTTACGGTCATGGATTTGTAATCCATGGCAAAAATGGCTTTGCCAACTCACAATCGGCCATATACGGCCAATCGTGTCCCATTTCATCGACTGCTAGTGGTGGTGACTTGCTACCGGTAGTGGCTTGGGGTGGATGGGGGTGATTTTGCTATAAATTAAAGTTTTATATGGCTAAGGTGTTTTAACAAAGTTTTAAATGTAGGGGGTTAAAAAAAATTATTAAAAAAATAATAATAAAAAATACTATTATATTAATATTTAAAAAGGAGGGCAATTTAGTAATCTATATAACATATCCACCCATTTATCCTTCCAACCAAACATATTATTCTCCAATTTATTCGAACCAATCAAACACATTTTCTAAACATTTCTAGTAATCATCAAGGTAATCTATTTTTCCGTTAATATAACATCTCCCTGTAATAAAACATTATATGATCTTAATGCTCCCGAAATGTTATATTAAATATATTTAGTTATATTAGAATAAAATGATGGGTATAAATTATGGATATAAATAATTAATATGTTTAGTTGGGAGAATAAAAGAATTATGGGAGAAGTTTTTTACTAAATTGCCCTTTTTTTTTTACTATTATTATTATATTTCGACTATTAATGATAATTTAACATAATAATATCATATTATATATTCTAATATGATAATATTATTCATAATAATATACTAGAACAATATTGTTAACAATATAATATTATTAATTATATTATTAAACAATATTATTATATTGTATGATGAATAATATTATTAATATAATAATTAATAATTTTATTAATAAGAAGTAAAATTCTAATAAAATTAATATCACCAAGTAATCTTAGAAAATCTGATAAAAGAGTGATATTCATGTTATCCCTATGGGGGCGTTTAGATCATATAATGTTTTATTATAAAGGAATATTATATTAACATAATAAAAGATCACCTTAAAGATTACTGAGAATGTTTAGAAAATGTGTTTGGTTGGTTCGAATAAATTGGTGAATAATATGTTTGGTTAAGAGGATAAATGGGTAGATATGTTATATAGATTATTAAATTGTCCTTCTTTTTAAATATTAATATAACAGTATTTTTTATTATTATTTTTTGAATAGTTTCTTTTAACCCCCTACTTTTAAGATTTAGCAAAAACACTCTAGCAACCAAAAATATTTTAAACATAACAAAAACACCTCTACCCACCCCAAGCCACTACTAGTAGCTAGCCGTCATCACTGGTGGCCGCTAGTAGTGCCACAGATCTAGCCGTTTCACAGCCATAGATGTGGCCGTGAAACTATCACAAATCTAGTCGTGAAAGACCTGGCCATTTCACGGCTAGATCAATCGTTGTTTCACGGCCACGGCCACATCCTTGGCCATGAAACAACCATAGATCTAGCCGTGAAACAGCCAGATCTAGCCTTTTTCGACCATGGATCTGTCAGAAAAAGCCTCACTGGTGCACAGTTGCCATATACGGCTGGTCGTATGCCATTATGGCAACTTTTGGCAGCCTTCAGGGACGATTGACAGTTGCTGGCAATGGTGGCCAGTTTTGGGTATAATGACATTTCTGTAAATAATGACAATAACAAGGGCAATTTCATTCGAAAAATTAAAAAAGCGAGGACAAAAATGTATGCATTAATGAATTAGATGTTTTGTAAATGTTAACAAATATAAGATTAATTTGGACCAAATGTTCAACTGTTTAGGGGCAACATCGGAAACATAATTGTATTACCAGGGTATTAAGATTCCTAGCAATATACCCCCCAAATGCTACTATTTGTCATAAAATATTCCGAAAATAATGACATTTCCGGAATGACATGCTGGCGATGGTGGCTAGTTTTGGGTATAAGGACATTTCTGTAAATAATGACAATAACAAGGGCAATGTCATTCGAAAAATTAAAAAAGCGAGGACAAAAGTGTATGCATTAATGAATTGGATGTTTTGTAAATATTAACAAATATAAGGTTAATTTGGACCAAATGCTCAACTGTTTAGAGGCAACATGGGAAACAAAATTGTATTACCATAGTATTAAGATTCCTAGCAATATACCCCCCAAATGCTACTATTTTTCATAAAATATTCCGGAAATAATTTTTTACAAACCAATAAACATCATCATCTGCTCAATTTAAAAAATATTACCCCAGTTATCAAATATTAACTCAATCCAAACGGCCTCTATATAATATACCGTGATTACTATTAGTATTAGAGTACTACTAAAATCTTTTATTATTTGACAACCAAACATGGTAATGACAATAATATAAAATGATATTACTAGAGTTAACGAGAGATTATCTCCAACCAAATGCATCCTAAGAGTTATAAAAAACAATATATTAAAGTTTATCAGATTACGTTAAACTAACTAAAATGATGTATATAATCTAATTAAAGATGCATGTTATTAATCAAAGCTTATTCTTACACCATTTGTTGATTAAAAAAAAAAATTGCAAAAACATGAAAATCGTCACTAAAAAATGTGGTGAAAAATGATATTAAAAGAGTCAAGAGTGATGAGGAGGTTATATTTAACGAAAAAAAGGGACTTTCATTCCATCTTTAGCCTTACTAGTTGAAGAAGTAAGGTGTCATTCTAATAAAACATTAAAATTGTCAATAAGGAAATCAATGAAGTATTTTAGACCCTTTTCTCAAACTTAATAGTGTGTATTATTTTCTTGTTTTTTGACCAGAAATTGCTGAAATTTGGTCTCGACGTTTCCTATTAAAAGTTGGTGAAAAAATATGTGTTTGTTCAGTGTGCATGAGTCAGCTTCAAATGATAAACAATTTTGATTTGGTAGGGAAAAGTTATGATTCTTTAAGTTTTGGTCTTGACTTTGGGTGCCGTTATCGTCTCCAATTTGAATTGAAATTGTTACATTTGCTTTCAAAAAATGAAGTTGAATTTCGTGTTTTAATAATTCTTAAAATGAAAGCAGTAATCATAAGTAGCATACGCCTTTCTTTTATTGGTGTACATGTACCCAAAAAAAGAAAAAAGAAAAGAAGGAATCTTCGGTTTCCCATTGCCCTCAATCAATGGGAAAGAAGCACAAGAAGAAGAAGCACTTAATTAATCACTTTTTGGAAATCAAAGAATTCAACTGCTCCAATTGAGACTAGAGGAACCATATTTTGATTTAGGGGATGAGATTGAAAGCCTTAATTCCAACTGCGACACATCAATTTCATTAATGGAAGAGAAATACGACAATGATCAATTTCCCCACGATCATTTTCCAATACTATTTAAAAATAACATAATTTTCTATTAGTTGGGTGAAAAGGCTAATGGTATTTTCTTTTTTCTTTTTTCTTTTTTTGTTTGGAACAACTAAATAGGGAAAAGATCAATAAATGAAGTATATATATATATATATATATATAATTAAAGATTTTTAAATGTGCATCATTTTAATGAGTAATTACCAAACCAAACTTAATCAGTGTCTCCTACCATATTTTTTAAATTTTACAAACCTATTTTGTTTAGTCAAACGAAGACTGCTTAATTTGTAGTTGTGATTACAATTTCAAGCATCAATTATTTCCACATCATATCTTGGTAGGTATAAGTCTAACCTTCAATAATTTTCTTCCACGAGATTAGATTAGACATATCAAATCAATTAATTTGAAGAAATCATTAAGTAATTCCGACTCCTTAATTTTAGTAATCAACAAGCTGTATATATATATATATATATGTGATTGCATAAATCAATATTCAAAAACTTGGCTGGATGAGTATAAGAAGAAAATTCAACTAGTTAGGTTTAATTCCACTCGAAATTTGTAAATTACTTATGATATTGGAAATATTGTTTTATGTCATTAAATATAATAAGTGACCTTAAAATATTTATAAATTAATATATACTGCAATAAGAATTATTAAGAGTTTATCATCAACTGTCTATGTAATATCATTGATTATTATTATTATTTTTTTAACCGGAGATGTCCGAGTCAATTTATGCGCATCTCAACTAATCCCTCGGGGTTGTGAAGTTATCGATCGGGTAATCATCCACTGGTCACTCTATTAACAACCGAGAGGAATCGAATTCAAGACCTCTTGAATAATATGCTCAAGAGTCTCAATTGATCGTCTGACCACCCAAGAGTTGGTTATCATTGAAAATTTTAGAATATCATCTAATTAATTTATATGTTAATTAAATAATGTAACATTAATAAACTATTACCATATCATTTACATCATAAACTAATCATATCACGTAAAATACAAGAATGAAAAGAAGAAAACTTAAAACACAGAATATTATTGTATTGTAATTAATTGATGATCATGAGTTACTTCTTAATTAATTAAGTGGCTCATTATCACTTCCCTTATATTAGCTATTATTAATTTGACATTTATTTGCATGATTGAGATAGTAAAATGCTTGCGCTTTCTCTAATCTCTGATCTCTTTCTCTTCCTCTCCCTTTCTCCTTCAACTTCTAATCTCACTCCAAACAACTTCGGTCTCTCGTCTTCTTCTTCTTTCTCCAATTTTGCATACTTCGCCACCAAATCCAGCAGCTCCTTGCACTTCCTTTTCATGCTTCCAAGCTCCGAGTTTAACACCCCGTTCTCCTTTTTCAGACGTCTGTTTTCATCCATTAGGGAACTGTACCCGGATGACGAAGAATTGGTGGACGATGATCGTTGATCTTGATCTTCATCAGACGTTTGATCTTGCGCTATATTGCCGACGCCTTGAATTGGTGCCGCGCCATTTTGTTGCTTGTTTGTCCATGCTTTTCTTCGGCGGATGTTGCATAGTAGCTCTCTTTCTCCCTTTCGAAACATGTCGTTGCAGAACTCCCATCTGCCTGTTGCAACTTTGCGAAATCCCTATACATTCATATTCAATTATAACATTATTTTTACTCCAACCCCAAACAACCGAAATTAACGTATATGAATTATGTACAGGACGGATTCAAAAATTAATTTTAGAGGAGATAATGTCAAAAATAAAGAATAATACTATACAAACAAATAGTATATACAAAGTTATACATACAAAGTGTATTTATTAAATTGACTATTTATACAATTGATATGTCACTTTATTTTGTATAGACCTTTTATAAATGTAGTATTATCCAATATAAAATGAGACAAATGTAAATGAGTAGAGTCAAATGTAGAAATATTAATACAAATACGAACGTTTGCATTAAAATTATAACAACATTATTTGCGAAATGATATTATAAGATAAGATAAATATTATATTATGTAGTTCTTAAAGAAGTCATTATCGTTTTATGATATAAATGTCTGCATTAAAAATTATAACAACATTATACACGAAATGATATATCCAAAGTAATTTTAGGGATTCAAGAAGAAATTAATCACTATAACAATACAAGTTTGAGGAAACTTTCGAGGGCTAATTAGGAAGAGAAGCTTAGTATTTTTATTGGTTGATGGGTTATTAGATCTTTGTTTCCAGGCGAAAGAGTTAATAGAAATGTGAATGCACTGATTTGTTGTATGTATTAAATAAATTAAGCGTTGATTATCCTAGCCTAACTAATTGTAATTAAATATTAAGAAGGATCAAACACATCATAATAATAGTTAAATAATAAAAAGTTTTCACCTTTTATTGGCAATTGTATAGCTTGCTCCAGTTCACATCCTTATAATATAAACCTAGCCATATGTTGCCCACATACTTAAAGCTGACTTTTATACTACTCTTTCTAATAATTTTCTATGAACATCCATCAATCTTTTGACTTACTCTTCACAAAACAACGACTCCTGTTAATATTTATCTTAAGTTTACAAATGAGGTCAATTTTTTTCATATTAATTATGGGATAATTAAATTCAAACTCTATGAATAAAAATAAAAGAAATGAAGATTAAATACTGGAGCTAGATTAAGGTAATATATTTATACATACGTAAGTGTTGAGTTGGCGAACGAAGCTAGAGAAGTTGCTGTGTTTGAAGAGTGTCGGCAGAAGATCCCGAGCGAACTCCGCCGGTTGCCAAACCACGAACCCGGTTCCGTCACCGTTCCACGACACCACGTCGTCGGTCGCCGGATCCTCGATCAGCATGTAGGTTTTCAACAGAAACGGAGGAGGTGATGATTTTCTAACGTATTCTAATAAACTTTTGTCACTGATCATACTTGCAGACCTCATAAAAACCATTAAAAAAACCAAGAGAAAACAAGAAAAAACACGAAGATAAAAAAAAAAAAAAAAAAAAAAAAAAAAAAAGATGAATAAAGGAAATGAAGAAGAAGAAGATTAATTTGAGGAGAAAAGAAGAAGGGCAGTTAAGAACTCCCAGCCCCAGCAATAGAACCCCAATACGACACCACAGTTCATGAGAAACGCGAGGAGTTTAATTTCCTTTCTCTATGCAAATGAATCAAATGGTTGAAACGTATGCTCTAAGGCTTAAACCTGTCTATATATATTATGAAGAATTAAGAAATAATGAGGAATTTAATAAAATATTATTAATTAAATGGTTAATAGCATGCATGTCGGCTCAGGTGTTGATTAATTAGGACCGTTTGATCATGACACCAGCTTTTTGATTAACTTCTAGATGCCTGATTTTTGATGGTTGGCGGGCCCGTGTTTTTGGTTTTTAACAAAAATTGTGCGCCACGTGATTACATGACTAATGTTTTTATTCATTACTTCTAGATGCCTTACTGGTTTATTTGACGAGTCAATCACCTTTCTCAAATTTTAGCAATACTTTTGGGTTTTTTTTTTTTTGAATTATATTTTAACTCAATTAATTGTGTATTCATTTTATGTTAGAATTGTATAATATATGTGAATTAAAATAATATTTAGAAAATGATTGTCAAGGGTTGTTTTTTTTTTAAGTGCAAATAGCTTTAAAGATTTTGAAACTAAAAGGATTTACATGCTGATGAAAATTGTTATTAAAATATTTATATGGAAGGTAAAACAATTAAATGTATATTTTTATTTTTTTTATGATCAAAGCTCAAAGGTGTTTAAATCAATTTATGCATACCTCAACCAATTTTTCAAAACCTTGGAATTGCCAGTCGGGTATAACTTCATTGGCTATCCCTATTAGTAACTCAAAAGGGATTTGAACTTAAGATCTTTTGAGTAATACATCCAAAAGTCTCTATCAAACTATTTAACCACCCAATGACAGTTAAATGTATTTCTCTTAATTAATTTATTAATAAGATATATCAAACTATTTAACCACCCAAAGGCAGTTAAATGTATTTCTTTTAATTAATTCATTCATAAGATATGTAAGAGACAATTTCAATATATACATCTTTGGTTTTAAGGCAAAGATAAAGGACAACAAAATTTACCCTTGATTAAAAGGGACTAATTAATAATATGTTACGGTAACTAAGATAGATATTTAATTGTTATAATAATAAAGACTTTTCTATTAAATCTGAGTTATTATATATATATTTCATTTTTATTTAATAATTATATAACAACTTTAAGATCTATTTAGGTCAAAACTGAGATCGAGATCAAGGAAGAAAAAAGTGTGTGGCAACAATCTAATATGTATGTTGATTAATTTAATGTGGGTAATTAAGTAGATTGAATTGAGATTAATTATTGGTGGGATTGAATCATTGAATCACACTTGTATAGAATTAAATAATAAGAGTTTAATTCCTTTAGGTGTCCCCATTATATAATACTTTGTCTACCGTGCAAATTCCTCTATCCAAATTCTTTGTTGAATAATTATATGAATATGATGATCTAATGCTTTGGAGTTTTTCAAGGTTTCAGAAATGACTTTTTTGACTTTCTATTTCTTCCTGATAGGCCTTTCTACTAATATAGCCACTGTGTGTACAAGACTTTTGTTATTAGAATTTAGAAGAATATCATAGACTACCCTCATGATTTTCATATTCTATTTGGATGATAACTTTTTCACTCTTTATTAAATGGACCCTCAAAAGTTATCATGGTTGGATACCGCTTCGCCCTAACTCTGTCATATTGCCATTTGCTCTAGATAGGTGAAATGGTAACTTTAATCTTATAAGAAAGTGTGGTCACTTTAGTGTTATAATTTATAAGAAATTGTTTTGTAAACCTAACAATAATATAATGAAAAGCTAGGGTAAAAGGGTATCTGTGATGAAGTTTTTAAACTTTGAGGGTCCATTTGATACGGTTAAGGGTATCAATAATACATTTTTCAAACTTTGAGGATCTATATAATTAGAATGAAAGTTGTCATCTGAATGATAAATTTGAAAACATTAAGGGTAGTATATGACATTCTCCCTTTATTATTTCATTTTTGGACACATTAGAGGTAGGTGAAACCTAAATGGTCAAAATTTAATATTAATTAATTACCGGGCTTATGCTTGGTCTTTATTAACAATATCTTCGACTTTAGTTCATCTTTTCCCTCTTTCTTGGCATCAAAATTCTAATGCTGATTATTTATCTAATTACAGTTAAGTGAGAATTGCTATTTTTTTATCTAGAGCAAGACCATATGGGTAAAATGAAAGACTATCTCATTGAATTTGTATAATTGATTGGTTAACTAGTTGTTGGCCTTTAATTAACTCTATTCTCCCAAAAATATGAAGTCAACAATTTGGGTTATCTTTTTATATGAGAAATTTATTCAAAAGTCTTATCCAAATTGAAATTATAGATCCATTTTTTACATTATTCAAAAGTCTTTATTAAGCATATGTTTGAATCTAACATATGGTTAGTTATATGTAAAATCATTTGATTAACAATGTTAATTCTCATTAAATAATATCATCAAACAAATCATTTCGCAAAAATAAATCGTGAAAAATAATTAATATGTAAATATATATTACATTATTAAACTTTAATAACGTGAAGGAAACGTCCATGGACAAGGTCCCATTGTATGTCGAGAAAAGGAAAAGGCAATGAAGAAATGTTTTCTTAAGTTATTGGTTCAATTTCAAGAACTCACTTTCAAATTGACTAATATAAAGGAAATTTGGAAGTCGAAATAGTGGGACCAAAATGTCCCTCATTATGATTGGAGCGTTGGAATCACGCTCTCATATAAATGGGTGGGCTGGGAAGGTTCCTATGTGGAAAAGAAAATTCAGGGTACTTGGACAATAATATTATAATAGAAGGTTCTGATTTTGGTTGGGCAGCTGAGCTGAGCTGAGCTGAGCTTTCTTGACTTGATTTTAAAATTCCTTTCTTTTTTATTTTATTATTATTTGTAATTGTGTGCTGAAATTTGCCTCTACAACTTCACCAAACTCAGTGTTGTGTTCACATTTGTTTCTGTATTTTGGAGGAGGGAGTTAAATACATTTTGGTTCTTGAGGTTTGGCCGAGGTAACATAACGTCCTGTAGAATCTGAAAGTAACATTTAAATCTTTGTTATATATCTTTTTTTTTTTTGTAAAAGTCCAAAATAACTATAGTTATCTTTTTATTTTCTTTTAATTGTCAGAATTGTTCTAAATTTCTAATAGAATTATCAGTTAGCAGCTTTTTTTATTTATTTATAATTTTGTTAATTTTTATTTTCATTTACAAAATAAAATATTCGGGACATTTTAGCCTTTTTTCAAAACAAAATTTATGTAGCTGCTACCTGGCGAGGACCTAAATTTTAATATCAGAGTCTATTGGACCTTGTTTACTTAGGCCAAACCTAAAGGACCAAAATGAATTAACTCAATTTGGAGTTTCTTAAGTTATGGCAGGCACCAGCAATGGATTCTATGGGCAAATTCTGGTATTGTGTTGTATTGTATTGACCAGTTGCAACTTTAGACTGTGGTTTTAGTCTCTTTTTGTTTTTTTAATTTTCCAAATAGTTACAACAAAATTCAACTCTTATAAAACCTCAATGCATTATATAACAACACAAAATACAACCTGCATATATATATATATATATATATGAAAGCATGCAAATATGGATATCCTACATAAAACCCAATACCGCAAACTTATGGCTTCACACTCTCACTGTCAGCTCCACAAACCTCATATAAACAATTGAGTTACATGAAAAAATAATAATAAAAAGAAACAAAATCAAAGCACTTCAACCCAGGTAGCTCCTTTAAGGAACTCATCTCCTAAAAAAGAAAAATCATAATAAATAAAACCACAAAAAGGGATCCCTACGCTGGGTTGCTTAGGCCGCACGAGACCAGTGACAATTGAGCTTGGCGCAATAGAATACCCACCAATTTCACCACATATTCTATCTCAACTCTTAAAAGGGGTTTAAATGATAGATAAATCCTTTTACAAACTGTAGTTATCTTCTATCATGTTCGAGGATATTTTTAGTGATAAGCTAGTTAAAAAAAATATTGAAATCTTTTTTTTTTTAATTATATGTAAAACATTAAATATTGATTAATGTTTTACTTATAATAGTAAATTACTAAATATATCTTATATTCATTATTACATATTAACTAATTAAAATAAGTTTACTAAGAGATGATTACATATTAGAATATTCATTAGAATATTTATTCATCTCTCATTAAATATTCATTTATATAATAAAAGGTAATATATATTTCCATATTTTATCTATGGCATTTTTATTATCAATTAATTAAATTGATTTTGGCAAAAGAAATTGATACACAATTAAACACGAATTAAAAATTTTTATCTGTAGACCTTTACTTCAAATATTAATTATTTAATCATGATAGTAACCTCATGTTATGATTGACTATGTATTTATAGTGTATAGTACATTTCTATGCTGATAATTATATGATTTGAAAGATGAGCATATAGACAAATTCTGGGTACTTAAGTTCAATGTGGGTCACATAGCTTTGGCTACGTGAGGTGTTCTCTAATTATGTTTGGAGGTAAAAGTGTGGGATTGGACTAATTTATTTTATCCTTAAGTCCTAATTTTTAGGTTTAATCCCAATTTATAGGGACAAAGAATCCCATGAGGATTCCTTATCTCAAGTTGGAACACTTTTTTTTTTTTTCCTTATATATATATATACACATTATTGGACCTAGGTTGTAAAATATCATGTTAGTCCCATGTAATGAATTATTATCCAAATTAAGTATATACTATAAAAAATCATTTTAATTCATAATATAAATATAAATATGCAATATATTTTTCATTTGATATATATAATTATTTAATATACTAATTTATTTACTTATTTAATAATTAATTTTAGTATATATATTCTTATCTATAGGGATGGGTACTTTCAGATTCGGGTTAGATTTGTCGAACCGACCCAACCTGAAATGAATTGAGTTTAGTTAAATTGGATCTAGCTCAACCTGATACATACAAGCATTCATATTATAAAAGTAATTATTTGAAATATTAAATCTTTAATAAAAATCAATTTGGTAGTAATTAATATCTTTC